TTTTTTGCCTTTTCAAAAACTAATAATATATATAAAATTTTTGGGCTTCAAACTGATTGAATATAATTGATTTGCTTGTTATTTCCTAGATCTCATTAGTCATTTCTTTGATGAGCTGATTATAAATTAATCCTTGATGTGAGACTGTTGCGTTATACATTTTTTTATATACAAGAGTTAATTTAATTGAATTGGTGCTTCTTTTTTAAATATCATTATCTCATATTTGTTGTTACATCAAGTATAATTAAGAATGAACCTCCCCTATGTAATTTCTTTTAGATTCATAATGCTGGAATTATCTATCTTTTAAAAAATTAGCTAAATATATATTTAACCTGTTAATTGTATATAAATTTTTATTTTAATTTTGTAATTTTTAATTTTAAAAATATCTTTTCTGTTCTTTAATCTTAATATCCTGAGTTTCATCACAAAAAATTTTTACATTAAACTTTTAAATATTGTCAAAGTATTATGAAATGTTAATATATTAAGTTTAATTTTTTAAAAAAATAATAATGATTAACATATAAAAGATAATCATTTGAAACTAATAGCATTGTGGTTAGATGATTGAAAAAATGCTTTATAAAGTTAATAAATTAAATTAAAATTTTATATAAAATTAAAGGATAAAAATAGACCTTAGCAGGAAAAAAAAGTCAAGTTATTTTTATCCAATCTAATCACCGTGAGTTTTCCACTTATTTTTTCAAACAAGATTTTTAGTTTAAGCTTTAAATATTGTGAATAGAAAAAAAAATCACTAAAGATGGCTTTATATTTATGTAATTTGACTTAATTCCAACTAGTCAATGCAATTCACAATGTACATTTAAAAACCAGTTGATATATAAAGTAATGTAATGATGATTTATCCATGATAACTACGTAACAATAATCAAATATAAAGCTTAAGAGTTATAAACATTCGCCAATTATTATATTATTTGAATTGGCCTTAACCCTTTTAAATCTCAGATTGGTGATTCACATTAATTTGACATTGGATTCCCTAAATTATTTTAGATGCATTTTATTTTTATTTTAAAGGACATAAGATTTATATATTTAGCTTTGTATGCTTAATATATATATTTTTATCCAATCAAATCAAGATATGTAATATTAATAACAAGAATTTTTATATATTAAATAATTTATAAAATATACACATGTCTTAATTTAATTAAAAATAAGTATATACTCATGTCTAATATGAGTTAACTTTCCATAAAACTGACAAAATTTGAAAATATTAAAAGAAAATTATAAAATGACCTTAATTTTTTTTTATAAAAGAAAAGTTTGGATGAGTTGTATTTCAGGAACTTACTAGAACTAATACATGTTTCAAGGCTCAAAGAATGCTTATAAAGTATGATATTTTTAATATCTAAAATTAAAACTAAACATTTAATAACTACTGATTTAATTTTTGTCAAAATTAATGAAACTATTAACCAATACTTCTATCAATTAAATAGTGTGCTATTCAATTTAATAACGCTAATCTTAATTAACTCTTTTTTAAAAAGAACGACAGAAGCACAAGTCTTCCAGAATGAAAGAATTAAAATTTGAATCCAAGACAATACAATGAATACATTCAATGTATTTGACGTTAATGTTTACCAAAGGGAAAGGCCGTTAACTGTTAGCCTCATCTGTTGTACCTCTTGTATTAGTCAAAGAACACCCAACCAAAATTAATTAATTAAATCATTTAATTAATTATTATAAGTAGGGACATTAATTATATCGCGGACATTAATTATATCGCAGACATTAAGAATATATGAATGCTGAGCACTACTTGTGAATATATTATCCCATCGCATATGGAACCAAAATCGATCACCAAATATAAACAAAAGTCAAACAAAAAGGAATTCAGTTTCCTTCATTGGCTTAACATTTGGCAAAATGAGAACAAACTGAATTATATACAACTCATTTCCTAAGTTTTGTTTCCTTTGTGATATGTTTGCATTATAATATTATTTTCTTCAATCAAAATTCTAATTCTGCCCCTTGATTTTTTTAAATTTTACCCCTTTGAAATTTCACCCTCTATCAACTTTCTTTGGGGGAGGGGTTTGTCCAATATATATTCAACCCTTCACAATATTGTACTGTTTGCGAAACAAAACATATCCAAAATGAAATTATTTGAATATAGCATGAAAATCTGAGTCAACTTATTTGGTTAAACCAATAAATTAATATACCTTAATTAATATAATAGAATGTTTTGTTTATAATCAATTTCATCATGGTTTGACTATAGTTTTTAATTGTTAACCCTTGAAAGTTTGAACTAATACCTTGATTAGTTTAATAACTAATTCGATTTTTAATACCTGCCCAAAAAGATTTGAATCGAATCAAGTTAGATCACATATATGTAAAATTTTTCTCACACCCACCTATTCTGGGGTTTGATCCCTCATCTTCCGTATCACAAGAGGTAAAGTTGATAATTTCTGCCTTTAATTTATCATGCGTGCGTAATTATATTACAAATGACTCAATCCACGTGTTGCTGGTGAGTAGGTAGAACCAAATTTTATTCTATTATACAAGTGTGTGTGTGTGTATGATATATAAACACAATCCTAGTTTCCCAAAAGCCAGGGTCATGAGAGCTTGAAAGTGTGCAACTTGTTTTCTTAGAAAACAAAATCGTTCTGCTTTCTTTGTAGTCTCAACCACTCTTCTTTCAACATTTAGATTATATATAGAATCAACCACTACCAGCCTGCACGTTTCTCTCTGAGTTGCAAAATCAGAACACATGACAAAGTCACACACAAGCTATTCAAGTCGTCCACCACCACCACCACCGTCTAAGCTAGGAATTGGAACGAGTTCGCACTTGATCTCAAAGTTCAAGCCAAAGATCAGGATAATCCACGTATATGCTCCAGAGATTATCAAAACTGATGTCGCAAATTTCAGAGAGCTTGTTCAGAGGCTCACTGGTAAACCAGAAGATGAAGGAGAGAAAGGTGGTAGGAGAAGAGCAAAGACAAGACGACCCCACCAACCAGATTAGATCAAATGGGTTCTCAAATCAAGCAGAGGATGATTATGGAAGAACAACAAGGAGAGTTATGAGTCTGCAAAATGGGTTAAGGATCAAGAAGAAGAAGAAAATGATGATCAAGGTCAGATGTGGGGAAGGTCAAGGTCAAATGGAAAACTCAGTGGTGTTTCCTTGAAGGTTTCTCAGAATTAGACTGTTTCATGGAAGAGCTTAGTACTATGCCTGTAATGTAATTAATCTGATTCCTTAATTTCTGCTTCTATCTCGTTATTTTTGTCCGCCTCTGTGGTTGTGTGTGGACTGTGCGTATATAGTCTCTGAGTATATATGGCCATATATTACCAATGTAATTTGATGCAGTGCAACAGTCTAGTGTGCGTGTAGACACACAGAAAAATCTAGAATCCTTGCTTTATTACTCTGTTGAATGTAGTTGACTTCATCTTGTTTGAAGGTTAACCTTCCCAGAAACCAGATCAGACCTCTACAACATTTGACATTCGAGCCATTATTATCTGTAGCAACTTAATTATCATAATAGAGATGCTGCTAATACAGTTGTTTATGGACATATGAAAACTTGCAAATTTTAATGGGAAGATGAAAATGGGAGAATTAATCTGTGAGTACTTTTGAAAAATAACCCAATATATGAAATGCCGTCCTTATCTGCAACCTGAAATTAATTTAGAAGGGAAGATAGAGTGCAATTTTATCAGTACAATTTACCAACAGAAAAAAAGAAACACATTAAGAGTCGTTTTGCACTCTTTTCTTGTCATATAATGAAATACTGAAGGGAGAAAGAGAAAGAGAGACAGAAGACAGGGAGAGAACAAAATTGTAACACAAGCTTGAAGCTTCATGAGGGATCCCTTTTAAGTAAACTACAAGTACAATGTACAAGGTGGGTAGCCATTATTATAGAAAAGATGTGAAGTTTTTAATCATTAACAATTATTTTCTCGCAGTTCACTCGTAAATTTAATTATTGCCAATTCACAAGTTTCACATCTTCAGAAAGTCACGTTGAGCTATTGAGGTGGAAGCTGCTCACAGTATTGCTTCAGCATGAACGTACTTTTTGCCAAATCAAGTGAACATGCGCTAAGCTAAGAGTTAAATCTTAATAACACTATGACTGCTGACTAATTAGCCACTGGGCTATATTAGCTTATAGCTGAATATCAGACACAAATCTGGTCTCATCAAGATGGATCCTTTCAGTGAATCGGATGCTTTAAAGGTTGAACCTCTCTTTAAGGTCTATGTGAAGTGTAAACTACTAGTTTCTATATTATCCTTCTGCATATACAAGGCAAAATTTTGTGTAGAATTTCAATTTCAGCCACGACTCGAATTTAGGGAATAAGGATTCTCCTGTTAATGTAGTAAGCACTCACTTTAGTAGTTGATCAAATAGTAATACAACTAAGAATAATAATTTTAAGAGTTATTTGACTAATTGCTTGATATAATTATAGATATAGATATTATAAATAGTCATATTCCTTGGATCACTCTTTTAAAGAGTGTATCAACACAAATAATTATTTTTTATTTTTTAACAAATGTGAACCGTGAGTTTAATTGATGATAGAGTACAATAATATTATGCAATTCATATTATCAATCCTGTCTAGTAAGATAAAGCTTGTTGTGATAATTAATGTCGACTTTATGTATTACAAAGTCTTAAAAATAAGCTACATTATTTATAACTTCTAAATAATGCACTTGTTAACAATTTTTTTACTATATATATCCATAGCTAAACCGTAAAAAGAAGTTGCAACGTGCTCTATCACCTGGAGAAATCCTTGAAACCTGGTCACACGTTTCTTGCGTCACTCCTTTTCTTTTTCTAGATGTATAAATGTATAAATAGTTATTTATTATTTTCTAACCAGTGTGGTCTTATTCTTGCTATAACATGCTGCAAATCATCTTATTCATTGAGAAGACTCAAATTAAAGAGGAAGTAACCTTGGTACAAATGCCTCCAATAAAGACCAGAGTTTCAATTGTATTTTACAACATTGAAGCTCTTCATAACATTTTAGTGTGAGATCATCAACCAGCTTCTGAACTAAACACCTATGACTATAGCACTGCCCATAAAATCTCGTGGGATAGCCATCAAGTTTGGGCAAGAGAACAAATTCAGGACCTTTTTCCTATATACAGTGAGAAAGACCACTAATGAGAAGCTTAGCCAATACTCTGGCTGAGGCTGCTTTTTCCCAGGGCTGCTCCATCTGCCTCCGTTCATCCCAACGCTTCAAATGTAACAATCTTTTTGTTGTAACACCTGAAGTCAGAAGCAGATAAACTATATCTCAGGAGTTCACGGCAGCAATCGTCAAAGAGATTGAATGCATGAGATGGATCATCAACGTATATATACAACCAGACCTTATCCACCAATATGTATCATGGGCCTATTTGCTGTCTTGGCTATGTCAAACATACCAGCATGTGAAGCTTTCTTCCTTTTCACCTACAAATGTCAAAACACAAGCACTGCTTAGAAGCATAACAGTACAAGATGCCTGTGATGGTTCAATATTCTGAGTTCGTCATATAACGGGAGAAAATTCAAGGAGTTCTTGGGTGTTTGTTTACAGGTTCTACAATACAAACACGCAGAGTGGATAAGACCTTCATATATGATGTGGAACTGTAAAAGAAAATGTCTAATTGTCATGCTTTTATCAGATAATTTGACATTGATAACAAACAATTGAAAACCATGCCTGAGTTTTGTCCCGTATCATTTTAACTAGTATATGTCCACAATTGAAGCAATCTATCCACAAAGAGAGTTAATGGAAAGATACCAAAGCAAAAGAAGAGACCTGCATAAGATTTTCATTGACCTAAATAGAAAAGCTTATGACTAGGTATCAGGGGAAGTGTTTTGAAAAACCTTGGAAAAGAAAGAGGTTTGTGTTTTTTATATCTGGGTTCATAAGAGGTTTGTGTTTTTTATATCTGGGTTATACAAGATTGGTATGAAGAAGCATCATAGCGTTAATAATTAAGCAAACATCAAACGGTTGATTAGATGGTGTTAAGTCCAATGAAGAGAGTTGGAGGAAGATAAAAAATCACTTAAAGAAGTTATTAAGCAAGACCTTTTGGCAAATGGCTCATCTAAGCTAGTTGTTGATAGAGCACAACGATGTAATGCAATCATGTAACCGACCTTATTTAGTGAGATAAAGCTTGGTTGTTGTTGTATATGATCTACATTCTTTACTCATAAAGCAATATGAAAAGATAAATTTGACATGAAGATTGTATGAATGATGAAAGTAAGAAAGCACTTTTGCATGAGCATCATACCAACAAAGTATATCGACTTAATGCAAATGGGAACATGAAGCTTTAATAAGGCTAACGGAATGCTCCTAAATCTAAGCATTGATAATTAAACAAGCATACCGCTGCCCCTATTATCTCTCTAAGCTCATGATCCTCTGCACCTTGTCGTAGAGGATCTCTTAAGCTAACCTGCAAGAGAATCAAAGCATATAAAAACATCTAACACATGTCCCTAATCAGAATTTATAGGCCGACAACGAACATGAAAGACAATACAGGATCAACTATTTAATCAAGATTCCCATTGTTTCTGTCGATTGTGTTCATACATAAAGCCAAGCAAAAATAAGCAGAATATAATAATAAAATAGTTTTAAAATATCAGTGTTGTGTGAAAAGTGAATGCTTACCGACTTCAAAGAAAGAAATACCCGTATGAGATGCAGGTAAGCTGAATCCCAAGGGTAAGAATAGACAGAGAGCAATACAGATGAGAAGAAACGTGGAAAAAGAACTTAGGTAGATTTTGGATGATTAAATCTAAAAAAGTCATCTGGCCAAAAACATCTAAAAAAAAAGTCATCATCCCTAAATGAAAACTTACAAAAAATGCCAGGGAATCATGGCCAGGAAAAGACAGGAGTATTGACTGAAGTCAACAAGATAAGTACAAACTGATCAAGTCAGCTGTGCAGTGCAACTAGTAGAATGGATTGTACAAGCAACCAGCATATAAAAATAGAAGACTCCATCATATAAACTATAATGAAATTGAGATGTCGACACTAAAGGCACCATAGGAATGAATTTTCCGATTCCAACAAACCCACTCTAGCTTTTGCACAGTATGCTCAAGACTAAATAATTTGCAAACAATTTACTACTTATACTGGTCGATTTGAAATTTATAGTTTTCTATGATTCCAGCACTGGGAACCCATCCTATGTAAGGATTCATAATTGAATCAGTAGTTCAATGTTCTGACTTAAAACTGTCTATCCTCTGTTTGATGCAAAGAGAAAAACTGCTAGAAATCTTATCCATCAGCAGCAGCAGACTGTCCTGAATCTGACATGCACCTCAATGCCCTAGAATGCTAAAGATATGCAACAGAATTAACCACAATTCATAGGCCTTTACTTTAATACTAATTCTGTAAATCCTGGCCCTTTGCCTGCTGTTCTTGAATGTGCTGTTCAAAAAGCCTACAAGTTTTTTTTCCACCACTTACAACTGCACCCTCCTTGATTAGCTGAATCACATTAATAATTCCGAAACTATCCAAAATCACAAACTCTACTCAAGTTGCCACCACCAAATGGCACAAAATTCAAGTGACAGACAGCGGACACAAGTAATCTTAACAGCTAGAAAAGGGCTTGCCTCTGAAGGACCAAATAAACAAACTTTCAAGTTGCCATCAGCTAATAATCTCAATCTATTGCAACCAGCACAAAAATGCTCAGTCATTGATGTGATGAATGACACTGTGCCCTGATGCCCATCTATTGTGAAATTCTTGGCTGTATCTGTTGGGTGATCCTGAAGTCTCTTTAAGCCTATAAATCGTTTCCCCTGTTTGATAATGACGGTCACAAACTATAAAATATCAGTAAGATAACTTCAAAACGCTACAAGTGAGATCATCAGTCAGAATTCTACCTTACCACTATATCCAACATTTCTGAGTAGGGCACAAGTTTCTTGACATTCCATACATTTCCATCAAAAGGCATGAACTCAATAAATCTAACATTAATTGGCTTTCCACGTGTCAACTCAACAAAATCACAAATTTCATCATCATTGAATCCACGCATTACAACACAGTTAACCTGAAACGTTAGGGAAGCATATTGAACAGTTAAAAATGCATCCCTGGTGACATTGAACTTATAGAAGTAATGAACCCTTGAACAAGAATCATCCTACACACAAAGCTACAAAATTTATTGAATGATTTAATAATTAGAAAAAACAGTAACTACATGAGGGTGGGAGGTGATCAAAGTGAATATCTTGATACACACACACACACACACACACGCGTGCGTGTGTGTGAATAAGACCAAAAGTTACCTTAACTGGATTATATCCGAGGTCTACCGCAGTATTGACTGAACTCATAACTTTTTCATGTCCTTTGCGTCTGGTCATAAACTCAAACTTTGCTGGTACCAAAGTGTCTAAACTGATGTTCACAGAAGTAAGCCCACATTCTTTCAGCTTAGGAAGTTTCCTTGCAAGGGCTATGCCATTAGTAGTCATGGCCAATGTCTTCAGTCCCTTCAAGCTTGACAAATCCCAACATATGTCTTCAATATCCTTTCTGACAGTTGGCTCCCCGCCAGTCAAACGAATTTTATTCACCCCAGAGCTTACAAAAAGATTCGCTAATCGCATTATCTCAGTCCTTGTTAGAAGCTTAGGGCTGGAAGTGAGCTCCACACCCTCTTCTGGCATACAGTACTGACACCGTAAATTGCAGCGCTCTGTTAATGATATCCTCAAATAAGTGTGCAACCTCCCAAATGAATCTACTAACATGTCAGAGTCAGGATTCTCTTTTGGCCGATCTTCAAAACATGTAGCAGAAGATGTGGCATACATTCTTGCTGCATGTTCCTTCACAATTCCCCTGAATAAGGCTTGACCATTACTATTTCTGGAGGCACAGAAAGATCCAATCTCACAATTTACCTGTTACAATTACATTAGTAGTGTTAGCTAGTCTTGTTTTATTCCAAAATCTAGCATCAACCACACCAAAGATCAACACAAAGAAGACAATCTAGGATGCTAAATCAATTCTCAAATGGAAAATGTGAATTATCAACGATAAAAGTGGAGGCCCTAAAAGTACTCAATCCATATATTCATTAAAACAAGTAACTAATATATATATATATATATTTACACGCACATATCACCAAAAACGTAATTAATATAGAGTGAACTAGCAACTCTGTTTTTTCATCTCCACAATTTCCCCCACATGAAAATGATCCAACACACACACACACACACACACGGACGCAGGCATGCACATACCCAGGCCCACACACACACACACACAAGAAGAAGAAGCTCTTCTGTCAACTTAAAATTGGATAAAAAAAATGATAATAATAACATTTTGAGGGGAAAGTTATAGAAATACCTCACCCAAGGGACACATGGTGCAGTTCAAGTCAATCCTATTCCTATTCCTATGGCTTAAACAGCCCCAACATAAAATTGGTTGGCATTCTTGATGATATCTCACCAATATCTCAAGAATTATGACTCCCTGTATCTCAATACTATCTAAAGGTTTTGGTTTACTGATTTTCTGTTGCAAATGAAAACTACTAAATTTTCTGAGTTTCTTCCAGCTGCTGTTGCACATTTAATAGCGATTATTCCCTTTATAGTTTCCGCAATTTTTCTTAGGATTCTTGTGCCAATCTTGCTGCCATGGACCCGACATATGTATTGGTCAAGCATGTTATCTTTGGAAGTGTGTAAGGTGTGATCCCGTTAAAATAATTAGAAGCAACCAAAAAAACATTTTAAAAAACTGGAGTCACTGGGTTGCATTGGATAAGCGGATGGCATGTTCTTGATCGACCCAGGGAACAGCGTATTTTGACTGCAATTTAGCAGAATTTGACATGGACACTTCGTAAAAGTTTATTGTCCATATGATCCAAGAGATCCATGCATTAAATAAAGATATAGTATGACAATTTAGATAGCAGAATAAATTAGACAATATCCAAAACAAAACCAATAGTTAGAAAGCGCGCCTACCAGTAAGAAATTTGATTGTTTGAGCCCAATACGCCAGTCATTGAGCTTAGATAAGCAGCGCCTCATCCTGGTTTCAGTGATGATGGCAATCACAGAAACAAGACTATGAGGAAAGCGAAAAGAAAAATGAAAAGCAAAGTTTCTTTTTAAGAGAAAAAAGATGCATCACCTGACGATATGATATAGACTGAAAATTGCCTATCTGGAACAGATAGAAGGGCGAGAGGAGAGATGGGGAAGCGAGAATCGTAAGGACCTCTGGGTTTTGGGGACTCTTGAACATGTCGGAGAGCCAAAGTCCAAAACACATTTACATTTATAGAGTCGGATACGCTGGATATGGTCAATTGCAAGATAAAAAGGTCTGCCAGCACCTCAGCTGGGCAGTGAAACTCGGAGCCGTGAGAATGCCGCCGGCCTGTAATTTTAAATAAATTATTATTATTATTTCCTTTTCTGTTGGGTACAAAAGTATTAAACAAATCCGCTCCTTAATCCCGTTTTAATGTTTAATTGTTTCCCTTATCGGCAAGTAAGTTTAATTAATGTTTATTAAATTAATTCATGTTAAAAAAACGTGCTGTCAAGCACGAAAATGACACTTCATAGCAAATAAGAAAAATTGGGTTAAAACCAATTTTCACCTGTTCTCATTGATTTTGAGTTTTGACCAACTCAGTTTTTGGCCGGTTTCTAGTTCGACTCACCGAGTTAATCTTTCCGGACTGATTCTGCCAACTTCTTTGGTTCAAACCTATACCTTGGAAGACAAATGAAATTAAATGAAAATCTTGCTGCACTAATATTGATCATTTCTGGACTTGAATGGGTTATGTCCCCCTATGAAGTTGTGTTTTCCTGGTCTCACTGTACCTACCCCGAATTCAATCAGAATTCGGAAGGCTTCCTTCCATCTGTACTGTCACCTGTCTATTTTTTCATGCATCACTAATTACGTATCATTAATCGAAATTCTATATTATCAAAAACATTATTTTAAGATTTCTATGTTACTTGAGTTATAAAATATGAAAGATTAGTGAGAAATTTTAAACAATGCAATCTAATGTCACAGTACTTCTCCGTGGAAGAGTTGACCACTCTTTAAGATTTAGATTAAAAGGCTGTGCTTGTCACTTGTAATTTAGAAAAAGACGCACAAGAGTTGACTCTATTTAAACTTAGATTACACAAGACAGTGCACGTTACTATGTTCTTTTCCTTTTACTTTTTTATTATTTACAGAAAATCTTTTATTGAAGATAATCTATTCAAGACACAATTACGTTGGGTGCTAAACGTATCTTTCAACAAAAATTCAAATATAAATTCAGCACTAATTTATATTTGAATTTAGCACTAAACCTATCAAACTTATCTGGCTGTTTCCCCCCCCCCCCCCCTACCGAGCCCCATTTGTTCGCCTGCCCATTTTTCATGCATCACTAATTTCACGTGTCATGCTTTTCTGTTACGTCAATTCAGGTTGATCCTTGCATATCATCTGCTGCTGCATGGTTTAGCCAATCACGCTTGTATATTCTTTCGACTGTTCTCTGCACCTCGCAATGAATAGGAAAACTGACAATTAAGACTTAAAGTAAAAATTAAAAACCACCCATTTAAACTCAAGAGTTTGAATTTAAAAAAATAATATTTAAAAAAAATAAACTTTCAAACTTGACCCTAATAGGTTTTAAAAAAAACGAGCTCAGGCTCAGGCGACCCTTTAAGGCTTATTTTTGTTTTTCCCTTGAAAATTAAAATATTTTTAATTTTTAAATTAAATTTAAACTTTAAAATATATGTTTATACTTTAAAATTAAAATTTTTATTATTTATTTTAAATTTGTAAACATTATAATTTATATTCTTAAAAAATAAATAAAATATTAAAGTTAAAAATTTTAATTTGAAAAAATTTTAAAAAATAAAAAAATAATAATAATGTCTTACGAGCCTAACCCTGAGTCTTTTGTATAAGAGTTAGGCTTTAAAAAATGAAATATTTTAAGAAAATTAGATTTAAGAACTTGAGCCCTTAAGGGCCGAGTCTATCTATTTTCCAACATAGGAACCCATCAAAATATTTGAAAGAATTACAGCTAACCCCCTCAAAAAAAAATTAATTACAAATAAAGACTAATGTGAAATAGATTGTTGTTAAAATGAGAACATGACTTTTTTTTTAAATGGAACTTGTTTTTAGTCCTTATATGTAATTAATTATTTTGAGAGGGTTGAATGTAATTCTCCCAAGATATTAATTATATTTTATTAATTGGTTTGTGTTAGGAATGATGAACAACCGCCTGTAAAATGGGGTGAGAGAAGAGACATGCAAAAGCACTGAAAGGACAACATATTTCAATTCAAAACTTTAAGGCTCAAGTTTATGGATCCTTTATTTTTATTATATATTAATTATTAAGCTCAACTTTATTCAATATATTTTGAAAATCAAACGTGTGCACAATAACGGACTTATGTGTCTCGAGCAAAACCAACTTTGATACCACTTATTAGGAATGAGGAGTGACTGCCTAGGAATGGGAGAACAGGAAAGACAGGCAACAATAATGGAATAACACCCCATTTTAGCTCAAAATCTTAAGTCTTAAGTTTATAGGTCATTTCTCTTTATTTTATATTAGTTATTAAACCTAATTTTATTTGATATAGAACTTTCCATATTGACTTATGTCCACTCACACTTGAATAACCTAAGAGTTTGAGATTCACAATGGGCTTTTGTAAATTTCCAGCTAACGCTATAAAAATTATTGCATATCTCTTGTTAATTTTTCAAACAATAACAAAAAATCACAAATGATTGATTGCAATGCACAATGGGTTCTTGTAGATTCTCAGTTGGCGTTACAATTAACACTACGTGGATTTTATAAATTTTTCAAGCGATTTATTTATATATTTATGATAAAAAATACAAATAATTGACTCGTAATTTACAATTGACGTTCATAAATTTTCAATTAACATTATAAATAATTTCAAGTGTATTTCTTAATTTTTTAAGTGATTTATTTATATATTAAAAATAAAAAATTGAGATTCATACTTGATTCTTATAAATTTTCAACTGATATTATAAATAATCTCAATATTTATTATTAATATCTTAATATTCAAGGTTTATAATTGTCATTAAAATCCTTATGGAGTCTTTAATTGTCATTTTCCCCCAAGGAGTATATGCTATTGGTCACATGTCAATAAGTTGTTTAGAAACGTGGAACCGCTTGCCCACAAAACAAACAAAAGAAGAGGAAGAGGAAGTTTGTATTAATGATAAGTATCATATCACAGTTGTTTATTTGAAACTGTTTCGGGTGGCAGGCTGAGATGGGCAAGCAGCGAATTAAAGAGTATATTTGGGAGAATCAGGCCGGTTTGATTTAAGTTTTGAAAAACTGTTTTTTATTTTTAAAAACAATATAATTTTTAAAAAAATTCATTTGAATAAGTGTCTTGAATTTAGTTTTGTTTTCAAAGCTGCTCTCATTTGGTTTTTTTTAAAATGAAAGTATCTTAAATTTATTTTTATTCTATTCTTTTTGTTTTTAAAACAATTGATTATTAAAAAAACATAGTTACCTCACTTAATTTTTGTCATAAACTATCATTGTTAACTGCTTGCAATCATTATTATCAGAAAATTTTTAATTCTAAATATGTTTTAAAATTAACATAACTAAACAAATGTTTATTTTGTTTTGTTTTGGAAGTAATTTTTAAAACTGTAGTATAAATCAGTTTTTAAAAACGAAAAATATAAATAGAAGCCAAACAAGCTCCCAGTTTGCTAAACGGTGTTTTTTTTTTTTTTGGCTAATCCCATCTAGTTTACAAGTTGTTGTAGTTAATATTCTTTTTTCCCCTCACTTCTATGTATTATATTCACCTTCACCTCTATTTATAATCAATCCCAAACCTGAATAAATGAGAAGAGTTGTGTCAACAACTAATATAAAATTTCATCGAATCTTAAATAAATATGGATAATAGATGTTTGTTGAACTAGATCTCATGATTAATAATATTTTAAAAGACTTAGTTGCTAATATAATATAATAGTGTTGTACAATTCATGTAACTAACTTCATTTAGTGAGATAAAATTTATTGTTGTTATATCATCCAAGAAGGATCCAAGCACTTTATAGTGGCGGGTTAAAGTTATTTTTTCCATTTTTAACAAGTAAAAACCAAGCAATTTTAACTTTTTTTTTTCTTTTTCTTCTGTTTTTGGTATCATGGGGGAGGGCGAGCACCTGACCCCCCCCCCCCCTAAATTTGTCTCTATATTATGTTCATGTTCTCGTGTTTTTTGTTGTTGTTGGAATTCTTGTTTCATGTTGTTTTACCCAAAAATGTTTCATGGTTTTTGTTTAGTTTTACGGCCCAACTTTTGGGCCTTTTTAATCTGGGCTGTATTAATCAATTTTTTTTTTATCTGACGATTATTTGAATAAGCTCCCTATCACAAGTTTTGAATCCATGTTAGTAGAGCAATTTATGTCTAGTGTTGAATTTATGCTACAAATATAATTATTTTTAATAAGAAAATATTTATGAATAATAATAAAAAGTTACCCATCATAAAAACGAAATGGAAAATAAGTAATTCATGCATAACTCAACGGAACTGCATCTCCACTCCCTCTCTTTTCGTCTGGTAATCTATCAATTATTTATGTTGATATTGATGAACATAAAAATATAATTTTCACGCGCATACCCAGTTAGATAAGATTGGAATTTGAAAACAAAGTCCTCAAGGATCCTAAAAAAATGGTTTATATATTAGAATTTGAAGTGACGTGACAGCATCAATATGTTAATATAAATATCTTTAACATAATAAAAAAAATATTGAGAGGGTTAATTTTTTATTCACGTATCTATATAACATCTCACAATTCATAATATTATTTTGGCAACAAAAATTCGAGTCTGCCTTATTGACAAAAAAAAAAAAACCATCAATGCGTTGGATTTTATATCGCCCTTATCTTAATTCAATTATTCTTATTTATATTTTCTTTTTTTCTTTATTTTTTAAAATTATATCAATAAGAATTTAAAATTTTTCGTCCAAAATTTCAAGTAAAAAGGTATACAATTACTATTTACATCATAGAAAATCTAATTATCATCATCATCCATCATTAATATATATATTTTGAGAGATCAATTTTCACACACACATATAGTGTTAATAAATATAGAATAATACAAAATACAAAAAAACTCTAATATTAAAATAACTTAGTCACTAACAAGAGTTGATATAGTTATTAAGAATTTGATTTATAATTTATAAGTTGCTATATTGATATGAATATTTTATTAATAAATAATTTATAAATAATTTTGTAAATATTCTTCCAAGCATGCCTTATTTTCAGTGAATGTATCCACTCGCTTAAAGTTCATTGCATAAAAAAAAAGAAAATAATAGTTAAGTCCTAAAATATTAAGTTATACGAGTTAGGTTTCCGATAAATTTTTTAAAAAAATAAATTAAAAATATTAATATGAATTATTATAAATTCAACAATTTTAATTGTAAATAAGTATTTAAATATTAAATATAATTTTTTAATTATAATAAAAAATTTTATTAATAATTATTTGAATTGATATTTATTATTTATTTTTTAAAAAAATTTTATTAAAAATTTAACTACCATTAATTGATTTCTTTAAGACTTATTCCTTTTATTAAAAAATGTAAGTCATTGTTAATTTTTTAAAATATAATTATTATATTTTTTTAAAATATCTTTATTAATGAATGATTTTATATTTATTGTAAAGTGTTTAATAAAAGTAAATATAAAAAAATAAGATTAATTTAAAAATAAATAATTATTTTATTAAAAAAAAAATTAATTAAAATATTTTATATTTTTAATCGAGGGAGTAACTGTTATTGCCCTAAAGAAACATAACGAGTCACGCGCACAGTACTACGAGCTTGCTTCTACAATCAAGCTCACCAAATACTGCGCGTCTCCATCGCCTTAATTCGGTGAATATATCAGATAGAGAAAGTAATCAGATCTTCCGTCGTTCAAATCATTAAACTCAAATCTGACCGTTCCTCTCAATTCGCAGGCATCAATCTGCCTGTCCATTTATCTCTCTTCTCTATTATCCTCCCCCTGTTTCCAAAATCCCAGACATCTTTTATTGTGCCACCCGAATTCATGGCTCATACACTTGAAAGAATTCATTATCTAGAAACCAGGCCGTCATGTTTTCGGAGTTTGTTTCTCTGATTTTCTATCCGTGACGTTTGGCAATCAAGTTCCAAACTTCCTTGCGATTTTTTTAACTCTGAGATCCATTTACTCGACCCATGAACGGCCAGCCTCAGATCTTGCAGAACCGCCAAATCTATCCCGTCTGGCTTCCCCTTCCGCCGTCGTTCCCCCGGACAACACCGCTCCGCTCTCTCAGCGGCCGGTAATATTTAAAGCCCAGGCGGAGACACCCAATCCTCCGGGTCGGGCCATTTCCAGGCCCAATCCCGATAAGAGGAACGAACTTCGTAGGGTCGACCCGCTCGGGGCTCCACCGGGTCAGGGATACAAACCCGCCAACCATGGTGACTTGCAATTTCAGAATCGATTGAAAGGTCGAAGATTTTATCCCAAGAAGAAGTTCAATTCTCGATTCGCTCCCTTTGCTCCCAGGAACACCACTTCGTTTCTGATTCGCGCCAAGAAATCCGGAGGTATTGCGTCTCTGGTCTCGCCATGTCCTGTCACGCCGGCGATTCTCACGACGCCGGTGTTCTCACCGGCGAGGGAGGATTTGATGGACATGGCGAAGCAAGAGTGGGGCGTCAACGGGTACGGCTCGATGAAGGGTCTGATCCGACTTCGTTCTGGGTCACCTAAAGGCAATGAGGATTTTCCCGATAACAACAGCGGCGGCGCGTCTAGTGACAGCGACGTGGAAGAAGAGCGCGTGGAAGTTGAGAGGAAACTGGACCATGACGTAAGAAGATTCGAAATGATATACCCAAATTCCACTGGCGGCGACGATCAGACCAGTGTACTAGAGAACAGGGTCGACGAACAGGACGGCCATATTTCTCAGCTGGAAGAAGAGAATTTGACGCTGAAAGAGAAGCTATTTCTGATGGAGAGGGAGTTGAGTGAACTGAGAAGGAGGGTCGAGTGCTTGGAGACTAACGGTGGGATGGCGCCGGAGAATGTTGCGGAGACCATAAATGACGTCGCCGACCACGAGGGTTCGGAGAAGAGCGTAGGAAACGGTAATGATGAGGACGATGGTGTTAGAAACTGAATTACGAATCCTAACAGAGAACTTGCATGTAATGTACCTGTAAATACCTGTATTACTGTATATGTATTTGTAGGATGGTAGATGCAGTGACAGTGAATATATCACGTTAGTTTCTTTTGGGAATGGAATGAAGAAGGATTTGGAAACTGGACATGACAATCAGAGAATTTGCAGGTCACTCGGATTATCTTCTTCCTCGTGCTTTCCTGCTAATATTCCTCTGGTTACGATTAGTTACTTATCTAGGATAATGTATGAATTGTATCTGCTATTACGTATGTATAAAAGGAAAGCTGTTTTGTAAACATTGATATCATACTCTTGGTGACGTTGATCTAATCGTTAGTCTGGATAATGATGATGATGATTCATCTAATTATTGACTTTATCTCTGAGCTTCTCCATATATCATCTTCAGGCTGGCACAGGCACTAAAGTGAGACAAATTTTTTCTCCCTCCTGGCCTCCTCCTTCAAAGTTAAAATTGGATTTTAATTAATTTATTATAAGTTAGTTAATTAATGATATTTAAAATTCTATATTATTTTCATGCTTACCTATAAACATTATTAATTATATCCTTTAATTAAGGACATTTAAAAAAATTATTAATTACATATTGAAAAACTCAAAATACTTTATATTTTTAAATATAATATTTAAAAGGGTTGATAAATATTCTAAATCTAAACTATTGTGTAAATAGCATCCTAAATTCTGAACCTTTGAAATGTATAAAAATTTTCTTTAACTTTTAAATTTCAGGCACTTAAAACCTCACTATTAAGTTGAACAAAAGACCATTACTTTTATAATTATAGGGCTTAATTGTACATTAAAGTGACACTTATCTTGACCTTTAAAAATAATGATCATATTTTCTAACTTAATTATGAGATTTTAGGTGCTTGAAATTTATAAGTTAAAAGGAATTTTTACACATTTTAAAAGTTCAATGTTCATAATGTTATTCACATAATAGTTTAGAGTTTATGATGCTCATTAATCCTACTTAAAAAAAACATGTATTTTAATATTAAATGGACACACTTTAAGATGTCAAATGAACAAGGTCTCCATAACGAAGATAATAATTAACTAACACTATGTATTGGACTTCTTCAAGACCAATTTCCTCCAACAATAAATGTTTTTGACAGGCTCCCCCAATAATAAATATGAAGACATGTTTAATTTGATCATTAAAAAAAAAATATGAAGACATGTTGAGATGATGATTTTCATAGACCAACGCATGTGTCGAAGTTCATATCTGACTAACCCCAACCATTTTAAGATCCTCATTTCGTCCAATAAGAATGTAATATATGCTTTTAGTGAGGAATGTTGTTACTCTCCTTGAAATTCTAATGGTTCATGTTTCTAATATATTCTAATTACTTCCTAAATATTCCAGGATAAGCATCCAAATCACCGAGGGAGCTTGTACTTTTCTCATAAGAAAAGTTTCCAGGGAGCTTATGCATTTCTTTTCCAATATCAGATGACATTTCAAGGTGAATTTGGCATAGCATACAATTTAATAAAACATGTTATTTATAACTTGTAAAGAACAAGCAATACCTAATATGTTATTTGTAGAATGTATTGATTAAGTGGGATGAAAAAGTTGACAGATGGAAGTGAGAAAAATTGAAGATCAGATTTGTTTGATGTATAAGACGTAAGCCTGTTTTAAGCTCAATATTAAAGCTTTATTAATAGTGGAATAATACTGCACAAAGCACATCGAGGAAAAGTTCAGAAATTCCAACGATACCTCGTCAAAAGTTGAAAACTAGGAACTTAATGTTACAAAAAAAGTTAGTGTTTTTTTTTCCCTAATCATTGCCAATTTGTTCACTTTGATTTTATTTATTTTTATTTTTTGTTTCCTAAAATCAATACGTTTCATTTCGTATATCAATTATTTCTTGTTTGTAATAACACATAACATACATGTTAGATCTTCGAATATTTACAATAACAATGTCGAATTGAAATGCCCTTATTAAAACGTGTTTTTTTCATTTTAAAAAGCATTTTTAGTGGGCGTGCCACACAACTTACAAAAAAAAAAAAAGAATTAGTACAACAACAAACTAAGCTAGACCAAAATACATATAAATTATTTTTAGCAACATTTAGGTTTATGGATTTGAATTTAAATTTTAAATATTAAATTTAAAACATGTATTTAAATGTAGTTATTTGGATAGGATAAAAAGTTTTAAAAATAAAGGATAGAAGAGTTAAAATTCGAAATAAAAATAAAAAATAAAAAATAATAAATTTATTTCTATTTTTTAATTAATAAGAGATAGAGTAAAAAATGAGAGACGATGTGAAAATAACAGAGATATCAATAATAATAAAAGAATGAAAATTATAAAAAATCATAATAAAATATAAATTTAAATTTAGATAAACTCTAAACCCAAAAAACTTTGGTATATTTAAATGTAGGAACCAAATTCTCTTATATTCAAATCCAAACACTGAAACTTAAATCCATCACCGCGTTGGTTATAAAAAAAAATCACCGCCAAGGGTTAACCGGAACGAAAATCTGGTTTTAATATTAAACAATGAGTTTTCTTCTCTCTTCTTTTTGTTTTTTGTTTTTGTTTTTTTGGTTTTTGTTTTTTGGTTTTTTAAATCTGTCTGCTCACTTTAATTAATCCCGTAAATTTACATGCTTGCTTGATATCCAATCTGTGTTGTGAATGGGAAAAGCCGAAAAATCCCAATTATTTCCTCCATAACATTTCCCCACTCGCCGCTTCAGATGCATAGAACTTGGACCGAATTGTTGTCACCAAGGATTTTCCTCATCTCTCCGGCCAATTTGCATATCTCAACTTTAGAGGTAGAAGAAGCACCCCATGGATCAACCCGCTGACAAGGCAGATGCGAATGGTAAATCTTGCTTCTCTCCGTTCAATTGAAATTTTCACTTTGTTAGGTTTCAATTCAATTAGATCTTCTTTGCGCGACCATCTTTCATTCCGAAATACATAACCAGTATTTTATTTTCGCTGAAGAAATTTTGGGTATATTTCTCTGGAACCGTTATTTAAGAGAAATTCTTGAAAAACAAATGTGATGTGAATTGTGGGTAAAGATGCTTACACACACATAGATACACACATTTTATTTTATTTGCCGTAATGTTTGTCCTGCATGCCCGGTATCATGATTTGCCTTCTATTAGTTTGTAGCAGTTCCTTGATACGGTTGAGGTGCAGTCCCTGATGAGATAGACCTGGTTAAAGAACTAAAGATAAAATGGAGCTTGATTTGAACGAGGAGCCCTTGGACCAAACCCCTACTTCAGTGATTGGATTTGATTCTATATTGGATGAGCTAGAATCTACCCATGACCATATAGAGGAGCGCATTAGGCAACTTGAAGCAGTAACGTTGAGAGCTAGGCAGCGTCAGAGGTGGCGACGGGGTCATGATTCAGTTCAAATAAATAACATTGTCGCAGATATGATGATGGTGCCTAGTGCTCAGGATGAACACAGGATGCCCCAAGAATATGGTGGGATTGCGGTCCAAGAGCAAACAGTTGTGTTAGCAGAGTTGACCAGAACTAATGCTCAAAATGAAGGTAGATTGGCTAGTGAAGAGGCTGGTGCAGTCCAAGAAAGAACGGTCAACAATAGGAAAACAGGCAAGAGGAACAGTTCCCATTTAGTAGCTCAAGCATTGGGCATGGATCCATATATAGATGAGACAGTGAGCACCACTGGGAATTTTTTTGATTGTAATATCTGTCTGGACATGGCAAGGGATCCTATTTTGACCTGCTGCGGTCATTTATTCTGCTGGCCATGCTTCTATCAGGTGTCGTTTGACTATTCAAATGTAAGGGAATGCCCTGTTTGTAAGGGAGAAGTCGCTGAAACAGGCATTATTCCAATATATGGAAGTAAAAACAACTCTAGCAACCATGAGTTGGAATTGAAAGAAAGTGGCTTCACTGTCCCTCCTCGGCCCCAGGCACGTAGGATTGAGAGTCTCAGACAGCAGCTTATAAGCAGGGGAGCATCTTCTTCTACAATCCAGGAGCTTAGGCGGTTTATTGGTGCAGCTGCAACTGATAGAACTCGTTTTTCAGTCAATCAACCTCACCATTCCCAGCCTCAAGCATTGCATGGCATGGAGACCAGAGTCAGGCAGCCTAATCGTTCACGTCTCCTTTCAAGGTTGTTAGTGGAAGGAGCTGCTTCATTTTCATCCCTTTCATCAGCATTAAATTCTGCAATGGATTCTGCTGAAAGATTAGTTGGAGACCTTGAAGCATATATTCATCCGCAGCAACCTCAACCCATAGGAAGCTCTAGAGAGCTGCTTCATCCTCTTCCTCATAATAGAGATTCACCTTCTAGCATTGCTGCTACAAACCAATCTGGGAGACTTATTCCAGATGTTGCTGCAAGCAATTCCGCTGCAAATGCTTCTCTTTCTCCTTTACATATGAATAATGATGCAACTGCTGTAATAGATTCAGGTATACAGACAACAGATAGCAGTGTACAGATTAGTTCAACAGAGCCTTCCTCATCTTCTAGCAGAACTGTTGTGACAGGACTTCCAGACCTTTACAATAGGGTTTCAAATGGGCGCAGAAGGAGAAGGTTAAGAAGATGATCTTTTCTGCGAGGACATACATGCGCCTCATGGACTGAAGGTTCCTAGTTTTTATACCTCAATATGTTTGATTCCTTTTCAGTTTCTATGTTTAAAGCAAATATATTTTCTAGTTTGTTTATCGTAAACAATCACTTTGATCAACTTCTAGGTTATGGCCATTATCTGGTTTACATATAAAAAGGTCTTTTACTGGTTTCGAGGACCACTTGAACTAACATGCTTTCAAAAATTGAATTTCTTACATGGAGGTTCTGGTCCTAGGTTTGAAGGGTCATGTATAGTTTAATTATAATCTTTAATAAAATTATCAAAGTGGCAAACAATATCCTCTCTTGTCCAATTTTAATTACAGATGGGGGATCTCTATCTTTCCGTAAGTTTCTTATGTTTGAGATTTTTTTCCCCACATTTTACCTGCATTATTATTGATTCATTCTTAATTAATAACCCATAAGGATCCCTTTGATCTGTTTCCCTACACTGTAGATCGATCATTTTCCTGTGAATATGACCAGAATATATAGATTCAAGCCTTCAGACAGCCTTTCATCAGAAGAAATTTTGGATTAACTTTGGGTCTGGAAAGGGCCTGTGACATCCTAACCTGTACAAATAGGATTGTTCGTTTTTAGCTGTTTGATAGAAAGTGAATTGCCTGCTGTGTGAACTTGAAGATGAGCTATTATTCACATCTAGCCTGCTGTTATCATTTTAGTATGTGGTGAAGTAGAAGTTTGAACTTCAAACTTCTTAACTACTACTAAAGACCACTGTTGTTTCTCTCTAGGTTATCCAGTGGTTAGAAAAATAGAATCGGTCTTCTCCTATCAGCATGTCTCATGTCCACAATGTGTTGTGTTTTCCTCCTGTCAAATCAAATTGACGGACATGCTTACATTCAGTGTATTTGAGGCCATGTTGGTGTGCCCCCAAACGTGGTAGGCAGAGAAGTAGCCAGGGCTGCTTCTTTGCAAACCTAGGTTTAGGGGCGTTTACGCAGACCTCAATAATTTAACTTAATGAGGTTTCAACACTCACAAAGCTACCTGCAGAATTGCGAAAGTATACCATCCCAGATCTTCGATCCTGAAGGCTTGTCTTGCATCACTTGGTATCCATCATAATCCTCTATGGCTTTCACAACTTTAACTGCCACACCATGTGGACCTGCAAAATCAGCCCCCACACACCTCCCATTTTTAGCTGCAGCCCCACCTAAGCCACTTTCAGCTCTTACGATCAACTCTTTTGTGGTGAAAGTGCACACAGCTTTAGCGTGCGACCAAAAATTAAAGAAATAGTGATGTAGCTGGCGGAGGAGGAAGAGAGTGAGAGAGAAGTTCGGTCAGCGTGGCGCGATGCATGTGAAGAAACTGATTTTAATGTAAATTTCGACTTTCAAGGCTATGGAAACGCCTTGATCACCTCACTTGAACCCTTGGATCAATCTGCTTTTGGATTTTCTCCACATATCATAATTAGGTATGGGGTTTGATACATTTTTTTTCTATCTTTCGCTGTATGAACCCTGTACATTTATTCTGTGAATGTAGAGGAGGATTCGAGCCAAATTAATCTTGGGCTAAAAAACATGGTCGCACATGGACAGAGACATGCTGACAAGAGAGATCTGTTAATGAGATAAACTCGAGAAATAATAGCATGGTAGTAGAGTAATGACCATTACTAGCATTTACATATTAAGCGTTTTTATTTTCTGTGGAAGTTTATTTCGATACATGCATGTAGTTAATTGTCATTATCACAATCTTCCAAAAATGCATAAATTAAGTTTATACAAACATCTCTCAAGGGAGAAATCTTGATGTAAAGATGCAAGCCTTCTTGGTGAGAAGTTGCAGCACAAGACATCCCTATGATCCCTGAATTGATGATGCCTTTGGGGCTGATATAATTGGACTCCATTATAGGGATATCTTTAGATGGTTTAAGCTAGTAATGAATGAACATGTTAATGATAAATTTTATTGGGAAATAATATTTGACGTGATTATTTGTATTTATTTATGATTAAATCTATTTATCTTTCAGTGTTTTTTAATTTCTTGCGAAATCGGATTTCTGCAACCATGCATGGATAGCTGAGATAGTTGCTTGCTGTCCCCAGTCTTTGCAAGCTTACAGCGGATTGAGCCAAGTTTTAGAGGGGTTAAAATTTGACAAAAGTGATGTAACTAGGCATCAGCGAGATTATTTAAATAACTTGATATGGTTATTTTAGTCTGTCATATGATTTTTCTTTTCCTTTTACCACTATGTAGGCTAATTATCATTTGAATTTTTAGCGGTTATGATCATAACAAATATTTAGATGCATTAAGTTCAACCAAATTGTATGATCAACTTTTTCTTGAAGAAGATTGTATGACTAACTTCTTTATTGGTTTTTTGGGTTGAACTGTATGACTAACTTTACGAAGTAATTAATCCTGGCCTGGATATGACCCAATGGACCGAGATAGATGGCTTATGATTTTCAATATTCTCGTTTAAACAGTAATGTTTTGATTGCTTTTTGAATATGCTTTAGGATTTTGTTCAAATTAGTTAGCGTAGCTTCTTGTTTATACATCTATATCGCATATTGAATATTGATGATGATGATTTTATCCACTTGCAACGAGCTAGGTGTATATCTTTGGTATTTGCTCCCAAGTTATTCAATAAAAATAAGCTGTGAAAATTTAGGGAAAGAATTTATAGTTTGGCATTTAAGTTTAAAGAATATGGTGCAAGCTTTCCTTCACTTTTGTTCATATCTTGGTTGACACCCATTTACATTGCAATCAGAAGGGAGTGCATTTCAATTTTTAGTTTAATTTTAGCAAAATCGATACTATAATGACTTTTTTTCTTGGTTAAAAGAATCATGTATTAAAATTGTTTGCATTAATTGTTCCTCGTTCCTTGTTCGAATTGAGAGATGGAGCTCCCAAAGTTCTCCCTCTGTCTTGTTTTAGTTTCCTATTTTCTCGCTGTCATCAATACAGCCTCTGTTTTGTTTTGTTTTTTAATTTTACAGAAAAAAATGTGAATATAAGTAGAGATTAAAAGCATAAATGAATCAAATAATTAGGTTTGTCTGCAATATAAATTGAATAATGATGATGATGATGCATCTTACAGAGAAAGAACGTGCTCATACGCACATGATTTTATGTTTCCCTCCATTTTCTTTCTTTCCTTTTTTTTTTAATGTTTTGTTTTTGTTTTTGGTTACTCTTCTCTGCATCTTTTTTCATTTTCCTTCCTATAAAAATGTAAACTTTTCTGTCATGTTAAAGTTTAAATATATCAAAATATAAACTTTTCTTTAGATGAGCGTAAAGCCGACTTGTAAGCTTATCAAGCCTATCTGTTTATAAATTTATATTATATTTATATAATAAATATATATAAGCCAATGTTATTAAAATCAAATGGGGCATCAAACGAGGAAAGACTGTTTTAAAGGGAGTCATGCCAGCAGCACTATGACATGATGTGTTATATCAATATTCAGCCCATGACAATCATTTAGCTAATTGAGGGGGCTTTCCATTTTCATAGCAATGCAAGTAAGACTACAAGCTCATGTTTAATACTTCAATTTGACTATCGGATTCTAGATGGTAAGGTGAACTAGGGCAGAGTTGAGTGTCGACCTGTTTGAATATTCTTTGCAAAAATTGACTTATAAAAAACCGATCTCAGTCTAAAACTATAATTTTAGGATATCCATGTAGCTTCACAACCTCAATTATGAACTTTTCAACATCTTTTGAGATGCATGATAATGTCCTCCCAAACACATGGAATAGTTAATGGTTGTAACAGGCTAGCACCTAATGAGTGGGCATGTATGTACCAAGATGTAGCCTTCCACTCATTTTCTATCAGTAATGAGTTGTTGCAGAATTTTGTTCAACTTAGGACCAGCTTGCACCTCTTTTTCCCATTCTTCAACATCATTATGCTACTATAAGGAGAATCCCATCATCTGTAACGATTCTTCTTGTCTAGAAAGCGTATCATCTATCCTATGCTCTTTGCTAGGCTTATACACAATCTCAAATTTAAATCCCATTAACTCAGAGGACCCATTTTTGCTGATTCTCATCTATGGCTCTCTATTTGCAAGTATTTCGAGGCCTTTTGATAAGTATGGATGACAAATTTGTGCCCATAAAAATAATTTCACCACTCCTTGACTGCCATCATAATAGTCATAAGCTCTCTTTCATCAATGGAGCATTGTTGAGTCCTATTCAAAATTGTAGAAAATAACTAAGAAATTTTATAATTTTTTATATCCTTCTATGTCATTCTATGGTCAATTAGTAGTGAAAGTTAACTTTTATTTATTAACAATAAGGGTGGCATTGTATCGTTTTCAAAAATTAAAGAGTAATTTTGTATCAAGAATGAGTACAAGGTCACAAATAAGACTGGCAATTCAAACCAACCCGAATAGAAGTGAAAAATTTTAGGGCTGAGTTTGGAAGTTTAAAAAATTTTTTTATTTTGGATTTATTTAGGCCGGCAATAAACCTGAACCCATATAGGCTTAGCTCAAATTATTAATTTTTTTATTATTAATAAAATAAATTAAGAACTAAAAATATTTTTTAGATAAAATTGAAAATGGCTAAAAATAAAATAATATTTAATAATTTGGGTGTTTAGACTAGTTCGAAAGGTCAAGGTGTTACGGTCGAGCATGATTATATAGGTTTTTTTATATATTCAGATTAAGTTCATTTCAAATTGAGCCAAGGCCACCTTCATTATAGGTTATTATTCCAAATGCTCTTAAATTTATATTTTAGTGGTCAAATTGCTATTTAATCCAAATATATATTGTCATCACATGTCTGTCAATAACAACAACAACAATTTCAATTGGTTTTCATTCAGATATTTTTATAAAAATAAATTTCATGAATTATTGTTTTATAAAAATGTTTTTATTATTTAATTATTGTAAAATGTATATCTTTATATATTTTCACATTTTTATAACATTTTCTCTTATTGACGAAACCAGATTATTTTCACAAGCTATTCAAAATAGCATCTCAAAATAACTAAAAATTTATTTTATAATATTCAGATTATTTTTAAAAATTTAAACTAACATAAAAAATATTATAGAATATTTAAAAAAAAGAAGTGATTTTTTCATAAAAAATTTAAACAAATGTCCCTTAATTAATGAAAAGGCCTAAAGACACACCACAAAAATTCATATCTTTAAACAAATATTCGTACATTCCACACACACACTATAATAATATTCGAAAGAATTTTGCTCCCTCATTAAAATTACCATTATTATTTTTCTATTTCCTGTAAAAAAAAAGTTGATATTATGTTTGCATTTCATTCTAGTTTTGAAAGTAATTAAATCCAAATCATCACATATCAATATGTATGTATAATACAAAATCAATAACATGTTGCATTATTATTCACAATATAATAATACTAGTAGTATTTATTTTAAAAAAAGGCATTACTCATCTCAAACTAAACATATACAATTCATTAAAATAAAAATATAATATCTGTGTGTGTATTTTGAAGGTCCGAAAGGGAGATATAAATATGACAGTAAAATACTCTCATTACCTTTCTATTTTGCCTTAACTACATAAACCTTCATTCTATTTTGAAAACATACAAGTTATTCCAATCTATTAGGAATATTCTAAAAATATTATAAAAACTTATTTTTTTAAATTAAAATTTATATTAAAACAAATTTTATTTACTACTTTACCCCTTACCCTAATAAATCATAAATTATATTAATTTAGACGGTTACATAATTTCATTGTAAAAAACATGTTTATAAATTTTAAATTTAAATTACTTATATAATGTGACGTGATTAAAAAAACGTGTTAGAAATATGTTTTAGCAATTTAAAAAAATAAATAAATAAGTTTCAATAAATTTGATAAAAAATAAAATTTTATAATACAATAAAAATTAATAAATTTATAATATAATAAAAATTGTAAAAATGTATTTATTATATTTTCTTAGTAGTATACAAAATTTTTTGTTGGCAAATATAGATTTTTTTGATAATTTTTATGTTAAATAAGGGTATTTTGGTTAAATTAAAAATTAAAAAATCAAATTTAATAATTAAATAATGATTGAATGAATGAAAATATAATCTCAGATATACAAAGAATGTTTATGAAACCTATATTTTAATTTTAAGAGAGATTTATAAAAGTTTTAAAAATAAAAAAAAATTATATAAAAGTGATCCGTACATTTTTACTCTAAATGTAATGATTAGCTGAAACGAAAATGGCAAAGCAGTGCGCGGCGGCTGGAAGAAAAGCCGTTTACATTTGACATATGCATGACTAAGCTCCCGAGAAAAATAAAGAAAATATTCGAACACCTTACGTGTGCTTTATATATAATTGGATAAAAGATTGTTTTTATCTGAAGAGTTATGAATATCTATATTATTATGATGTGGTGTAAATTACTTCGAGAACTGCAAAAATTATAACATATAACATCTTCCATCAATTGAAACAAATGTTCAAAGTATAGCTTCTAAGAATGCCTTTGAATTATCAGTGTTTAAATAAAAAAAGAAATCTATCAACCATTATCATCATAAAAAATAATTCATATTTTTAGATTTTGAAGTTGCTTCAATACAAAATCGACTTTATCCTAAGAATACCAAAGACCTTCTCTTCAAGTCTGTACTTATTATTATTTCGTTCATGAGTAGTTATCAACTTATAAGGCTTAAATATAGAATTGTTCAGATCTGCCCATAATAACTAGTTTGGATTTTCATTTTGAGACATTTAATATAATTCAACCTATTTTAATTTTTTATTATAATAAGTTGTGTTGGATTTTTTTTATATACAAAAGTTGATTACCCAAATATTGTGCCAATCAAAAATTTAAAATATCAATTACTTTTTTAAATAAATTTTAGAAACAAAATTGGATTTTAACACTTAAGAAAAAGTTCACTTTAATCAAATATTATTATAGAGTGACATTACACAATTTTTAAAATAACATTGTGTCAATTGAAAGTTAAAGTTATTAATTACACCTGTCAGAAAAATTTTAAGACAAGTTTACCCTTTAATTTTTTTAAAATATGTTAGTGAACCAATCTTTTCTATTTAAATTAATTTGGATAAAAAAATAATAAAATCCATCAAATTTTCGAAATAAATTAACAGAATTTACTCTCTTAATCGCATCATCAATTTCACTCAGGCAATCATTATAGCTTTCTTGTCAATCTAACCTATGTAGCACTAATTGAGCTTTCTTTTTATTCTTTTTAAATGTTAGAAATTTAGAACCTTTTTTGGATAAATTGTGTTCCCACGTTCCATTGGAAAGGGGGAAACGTGTTTGACTTGTGCGTGCATACATATAATATAAAATCTATATCAAATACACTTTTGATATATTATGAATGCGAGCAAGCTTTATG